GATAAGGCTCTAAGTGCAAAATCATTCATCATCAGGCCTTTCAACAAGTTCAGAGCTTTCTAGACAACAAAAGACGCTGTATAACTGAAAACAGTAGAAAGACTATCACTTCGTCTTCTTTTAATCTTGACAAAGAAAGTAGTGAACCTTTTACAACCCAAACGATGTCTATAGCATTCAGCTAAAAAAACACAAGACACTATAATCCAACAAAAAGATTTGATACCAACAAATCACTAAAGAGACGCCACATGCAAGTGCAAGTCTGTCTCGTCTGGCGTTCATCAAACAGTAGCAGCAAGAACATTCACAAAACTATAACAGTAAGGAACTGTAAGCACAACATCAAGCCACTCAATGTTTCCCTGAATCTCCCGACTATTATTGCATCTTTCTAGGGAAATCACAGCACACCAAATCGCCCTGCTCTTACAACCACTAGAAGGCAAATCCTTGTCCCAAAAAACCGCTATCTTTCCACCATAATCCACCAAATAAACATTACTATATCTAGCAAACTCAGGCAATCCTTCCAAACCCTTCAATTCTCTCCAGTGTCCTATCTCTGAGTCGTACCAATTGATCCCGTCAAAATAATAATAATAATAGAGTACGTTATCTACCACGCAATGACAAACTACCCCTACTGACATCACTTCAGATTTCCATGTATCTTCTTCAGGCTTGTAAGCCATACCATTCTCCCCAAACATGTAGATTTCTTCTTCAATCACTGCGGTCCAGAATATAAATCTCTTCACGAGAGTAGGAGGGCTCAACACAAACTCCCAAGTTTGAGTTTTTGAATCGAAAACCTCCATCCATTTAGAGGAATCAAAGTCTTTCAAGCCTCCTACTACATATATCTTTCCATCAACAACACTAGCAACTGGGTATCTCCGCTCCATCAGCATGCTTGGAGCCTCGTGCCACGTATGAGACCTGCAGTCCAAAATTGAGACCCTAGACGAAGGTGCATGCTCAATGGATCCACCAATGTTATAGATAGTAGAACCAACCACCACGAGACACGCAATAGGTGAATAATGGTGAACTGGGACTGGAACCAAAACATACCCACTACCCACTTGACTTCTTCTTCTTCTTCTTCTTCTTCTTGGTGATATTGGTTAGGCTCCGATTAGGTTTCTGGCAGAGAGTGAACCAACGTGGGTTAGGGTCAGGAGGGATCTTTAAGCACACATAGAGACAAGTCTCTGAATGGTTTAAGAAAGATCGAGTCTTGTAAAGCTCCGGCGAAGTAACGAGGGATCGACAACTCTTGGAGACTAAGGAGAGAGTCGGATAATACAATCTTGATACTAGTGCGAAGCAAGTCAATAGCAAATCATCGGGAAGTGATGGATTTGGAGTCAATTCCGGTGACCGTTTCTTCATCTCCGTTGTCGGCGACCTGCTCTGAAATTTCTGAAAATATGGAAACAAATCTTCTATATTAAAATCACCTTAAGCGTCACAAGCTTAACGGAATTACTCGGCACTAAAACAACACCCTTTAGTCCGACACGGAAGTTTTCTAATAAAGAGTAAATAAAAAAACCAAAAACTGTTTAGAACATCTCTAAAGTCTAAACTTTAACCAAAAGCTCTGATGAACAGTAAAACGTGTTTGCTCTCTGTATTGATAGATGATTTGAGTCTTGGGAATAGCTAGCCTTTTATAGAAGTGTTATGCACAAGAATTAGGAAACCATGTCAATTTCCTTTCTTCAAGTTGATTTTCTTTTTTCTGTGTAAATATAGGTGACTAATGAATAATTTCTTTTTTCCTTCAAGTAATCTCCCTTTCTCTAAAATGCTAAATTTGCTTTTAAGCTGAAATTTCCTTTTCTTCATGTCTGTGATCAAGCTTCATGCTTCAACATGCTCTTCTTCTTTAGGGGCGACATTGTCGAGATTAATCGCGAAGAAATCGTCGTTTATCAAACCTATAGACTTCTTCTCCGACTTGCAGAGAACAAATTCAAGGGAAATATTTTAGGGATTTGACTTCACTTCACTGTTAACTTCTCGAGCGCTTGGAAAACATCCACAGTAGACCAAAAGCTAGTTTTAATAGTTGGTCAAGTATACAAATGGGCCTAGAAAAAATAATCTTCAACTCTTCTTCGATTGAGATGAAAAGAAAAAGTAGCTAAAAGAAGAGAGGATCATCAAATTGTAGTGGCGATTTGGTTGGCTACAAAACATGAACATTTAAGCCTAGCCTTAAATTAAACAGCAAAACCATGTTTGTTTTTTTCTTTCTGGAACTTGTCATTCATACATAACAAGTGAGAGAGCCCAAGGATGTACAATAGACAAACAAGCAACAAAAACAAAAGTATTTTTCATAGACAAAGTAATTGTATGCTTAAACGGTCTACAAATTAGTCCATATGTCTATAAGTGAAAACAATGTCTAATAAAAAGTATTCACCATAGTAGTCGAATATATATAGACATTTTGCAACACACATATTCAGAACAAAAACGACATTACCGGATAACAAATAGACATTGTTTATTTTTTGACTGTTACTTTGATCCTAAACTCATGAGACTATCAATTGTATTAGTTCTGAATATGTGCAGATGTTTATAAGCAAAGACATGTCAATTGCATTACGATAAAAACACAAAACATTCCTTCATAAGTGTCATACTAAAAATAAATAAAAGCCATATAACCAGATTCATTATGTTTAAACTTGTCAAACAGTAGCAGAAATAGCATGCACGAATTTATAATACTTAGGGACTGTAAGAACCTCATCGAACCACTCGACCTTCCCCCAAATCTCTTCACTGTTGCGCCTTTCAAGTGAAATCCCTGCACACCAAATCATCTTCTTCTTATCCCCACTTGCAGGCACATACTTGTCCCACAAAACAACAAGCTTACCACCACAATCCGCTAATTTAACAGTACTAGAACTATTAATCTTAGGCAATCCTTCAAGACCCTTCAATTCAATCCAGTCTCTTAAATCATCATAGTCATACCCTTTGAACCGACCTGAACGATAACAATAATGTACGTTATCTATCACACAATAAGAATGCGGAACCAATAATGCTAAATCAATATTCAAACGGTCTCTAATTGGTATTCATTTATCTTCTTTTGGCTTGTAAGCCACAACATCGGTCAACGCCGGTCAATGCCGGATTCCGGCAACTGAATCACTGGAATTAGATGGTTATGGTGTTTGCAACATGACTTATGTTAGTTCAGGGATGTTCGTATGTAATGTCAATACTTCGTGTAGCTAACGAGACATTTTTAAAGTCTGCATGTGTGACTATGTGATGGTGTATCTTTCGCGTAGCTGGCAAACATTTTCCATTTATATCGGTTTAGTTATTTATGTAAACCGTAGAGAAATTGGAATAAATAAATTTTGGTTTGGTTATGAATATCGGTCCGGTGAGTACAAATTCGGTTATATAAATGTTTTTAACTCGGGAAACCATCTTCTTTCTAGACCAAGGCGCCAAAGAAAGTCTCTTTGAAGTCCATCGATTGGTGCGTTTTCTTCTCTTCATTGATATATTCTACGAAACTCAGATCATTGTGTAATATTTGTATTCAGGAAGTATCTGCATAAAGTATTGGCACTTGGCTTGATGTTCCTACATAATGATAAGAGTCTAAAAGCCATAGCTTAATAGCGCATATATCGCTGATGTAGCTAGAAACTGATTCAAGACCAGTGTTACATGATTATGAGTCAGGAGACACATTCACAGTAGTAATGCTACCATTGTTACTAAAAACAAAAACTCTTTCCCTGTGGTTTTGATAATTTTCGACTTCACATAGGCTTTCAAATCATCTTTAAACTATTTGGGATGCACACAGTGAAGCATATAAACAAACGAAAGCGCAAGAGTTTCTTTGGATCTTCCATGTTCTAATATACCTTTCTACAATCTCGGCCATTTTTGTTTCTGTGACTTGTGACAAAGTTTACTACAGCGAAGCTCGGGTATAGAAGCGTCTGAGATCTGACACCAACCGATCTCACCATTGAGGTAAGACTCAGAACCTCTGTTTCCTATACATGTGTGTGCATTGGAAGTTTTGATAAGCTCTAACTGCAAAATCATTTATCAGGCCTTTGAACAAATTCAGAGCTTTCTAGAAGACAAAAGACGTATATAACTGAAAATCGGAAAAAGACTGTCAGCGTAAGCAGCACAAAATAAGCTAACCATCAAAGGTGTTACAACCCAAATGATGTATATAGCATTCAGCTAAAAAACGGCAACACTATAATCCAACAAATGATTTAGTACCATGAAAACACTAAAGATGCACCACTCGCAAGTCTGTCTCGTACGGCATTCATCAAACAGTAGCCGTAAGAGCATCCACAAAATGATGATATCTAGGAACTGTAAGCACAGCATCAAGCGACTCAACCTTTCCCCAAATCTCCTGACTATTATTGCATCTTTCAAGGGAAATCACCGCACACCAAATCGACCTACTCTTATTACCACTAGAGGGCAAATTCTTGTCCCAAAAAACCGCCATCTTTCCACCATATTCCACCAATTTAACCGTACTATATCTAGCAAACTTAGGCAATCCTTCCAAACCCTTCAATTTCATCCACGGTCCTATCTCTGACTCTGAGTCGTACCAACTGATCCCGCCTAAATCACAATAACGATAGAGTACATTATCTACCATGCAATGAGAATCTCCCCATACTAATAACAAATTTCCTTCATATCTCCATCTATCTTCTTTAGGCTTGTAAGCCACACCCGACTCCCCAAGCAAGTAGATTTCTCCTTCAATCACTAACCTCTTGTATAAATCTCTCTCCATGAGAGTAGGAGGGCTCAACACAAACTCCCAAGTTTGAATTTTTGGATCGAAAACTTCCATCCATTTAGAATAATCAAAGTCTTTTAAGCCTCCTGGTACATAAATCTTTCCATCAACAACATTAGCAGCTAGGTAATTATGGCTCGCCATCCGCATGCTTGGAGCCTCGTGCCACGTATGAGACCTGCAGTCCAAAATTGAGACCTTAGACGAGAACTCATTGCTGACCGATCCGCCAATGGCGTAGATATTAGAACCAACCGCCACGAGACCATCACAGTGAGCAGGAGGTGAATTGGGAACTGGGACTGAAACCAAAACATACCCACATGACTTCTTATTCTTCTTCTTGGGGATATTGGTTAGGGTTTGATTAGGTTTCCGGCAGAGAGTGAACCATCGTTGATTAGGGTCAGGAGGGAACTCTAAGCAGACATAGAGACAAGTCTCTGAATGGTTTAAGAAAGATCGAGTCTTGTAAAGCTCCGGTGAAGTAACGAGGGATCGACAACTCTTGGAGACTAAGGAGAGAGTCGGGTAGTACAATCTTGAAACGCGTGCGAAGCAAGTCAATAGCAAATCATCGGGAAGTGATGGATTTGGAGTCAATTCCGGCGACTGTTTCTTCATCTCCGTTGTCGTCGACTTGCTCTTCTTCTTAGGGCGCAACATTTTCGAGATTAATCAAGACGAAATCACCGTTGATTAGTAAAACCTACCGATTTCTTCTACTTCTTCTTCGTCTTTGCAGAGAACAAATTCAGAGGAAATTTTTAGGGATTTGACTGCTTAGAGTTCTCTTTGAGAAACATCCACAGAATATAAAAAGGCTAAAAAAAAAAAGAAAAAAACATGAAAGGCTAATTCTAATAGTGGGCTTAAGTATAGAAAATTAGAAATGGTGATTTTGTTGGATCTAATAATGGGCCTCATGGAAAAGTAATTTATCAACTTTTTGTTGTTGTCCTCGCGACTTAGATTACTCTTCTTCGATTGAGAAGAAAATAAAAAGTAGCTACAAAAAAGGATCGTCAAATTGTTTCAGTGGAGATTTCTTAATTGGTTGGTTACAAAACATTAACATTTAAGCCTTGTCTTAAACAACAAAACCCTGTTTTTTTTTCTTTTTTCTTTCTGTAACTTAGCTATTCATACATAAATGAGAGAGCCCAAGAATGTACAATATACAAACAAGCAACACAAAAACAAAACTATTTTTCATAGACAAACTCTGTATTTGTTTTAGTTCATATGTTTAGAAGTGAAAACAAGGACGAGACAAAAACGAATATATAGACATTTTGCAACACATATATTCAGAACGAAAACAACATTACCCGGCCACTAGTATGAGACATTCATCAAGCAGTAGAAAAAAGAGTTTGGGATCAGAGGGTAATCAAAGTAACAGTCACAAAATATATAAGCTTAATCATCTACTAGCAAGTGAGTGCAGATGTTTTATAAGCAAAGACATGTCAATTTCATTACGACAAAAACACAAAACATTCCTTCATAAGTGTCATAATAAAAATAAATAAAAGCGATATAATAACCAGATTCATTATGTTTAAACTTGTCAAACAGTAGCAGAAATAGCATGCATGACCCGCACATACGTGCGGAGTTTCATATTTTAAAATTTTTGAACAAATTTTAATTAAGTATAGATTATTTTGTTGTTTTTAACTTTTTATGATATATATTTTAGTGTATTAGATCTGGATCCACATACGTGTAGAGATATTTTTATAGAAATTTTTATAGAGATTTAAAAATATAAAATATTTGTTGTGTTAGTGAACTTCGTAATAGTATAAATATTATAAGTTAGAATAATGAACAAAATTCAGTTGCGTTAATGCATAATTATATTTTAAGATCCGGACTAATTTAGTTGCAAAAGTTAAGTGGTGTTACATTTTTATTTTCTTAACTAATCAAAACAGTTCTAACAGTTTGATTACATATGTTAAATAAGATATGAATTTGGTTTTAGTTTGGGTTATTTCATGTATATTAGCTAGACGTAACTATTTTGGAACATGAAAATATCTCGTCCGGTATCTGTCATAAATTCTTTGTCCCATAATCTGTCACGTATACGTAAAATAAAAATATTATGGTCCCATATCTGTCATAAATAGAGTATGTGTAATTGAAAATGTATGTACATGGTTACATGTGTAAACAAATTTATTTTATATAGTGCTCATAACCCGAACTCATGCCAGTTGGGTATTTAGTTTGATTTTTAATATATGTTCCCCTCCCATCTCGTCTCGTAATTTCTATTTCCATTTTATTCCATTAAAATCATATTCCAAAATCTTTTTTGCTTACTTTTAAATATCATACAAAATTATAATATATATTGTGAGTTTTGCGGATTAATATGTATACTGTTAAAATTACAAATATATTTAAACAAATTTATTAATGTTCTAGCTAAATTTTGCATATTTTTCTTTTCATTGTTTAATCATAATTAATTCGATTTTTGGGACTAAAATTAAAATTTGAGATACATCTATAAAAGGGATATGCTATTGCTGCATAATTTGTTTTGAATGCAAAATATATAATTAGTTCACATTATTTCGAAAACTGTGTGCAATATATTATGGATTTGTTTAAGGAAGATCCAGTTGAGAAGAAAAAAAACACAAAATATTTCGAAATTAATATGTACAATCTTTTGTTTAGATATTTCCGAAACTTTCTCTAAACGAAGGCCATAACGATAATTACTTTAAATTTATCATTATTTGAGTTTATTTCATAGTAAATATAAATATTTGTTAATATATAATATCGGTTTTTTAAAAATTGTGAAATAAAATTTTGTTTTATCTCTCAAAATTTGTGAAAATATTATAACAAAACTGAGTCATTTGTTAATGTTTTCTTTCCCCCCAAATTATACTGAGTTTAAGACTAGCTGTAAGCATATCATCAAACCATTCAACCTTTCCTCGAATACCCTGATTTTTGCAACTTCCAAGGGAAATCACCGCACACGAAATCATATGACTCTTATAACCACTAGAAGGGGAATACTTGTCCCAAAAAATCGCAATCTTTCCACCATAATCCGCCAACCTAACACAATTACTAGCAAGCTTAGACAATCCTTTCAAACCCCTCAACTTCCTCCACGATCTTTTCTCTGATTCATACCATTTGATTCCACCAGGTCGATAACAATAGAGAACGTTATCTATAACGCAATACGAATGAAAATACAAACCTAAATCCATACTCTGATGCTCTCCTTCATCTCCCCATCTATCTTCTTTTGGCTTGTAGGTCACAACCTTATCCCCAAAAATGTAGATTTCTCCATCAATCACTAAGCTCCTGTATACGAATCTCTCCGCTAAAGGGCACAACACAAACTCCCAAGTTTGAGTCTTCGTATCGAAAACCTCCATCCATTTAGAGGAATCAAAGTCTTCCAAGCCTCCTGCTACATAAATCTTCCCATCAACAACATTAGCAGCTGGGTAATTCCGCTTCATCCGCATGCTTGGCGCCTCGTGCCACGTATGAGACCTGCAGTCTAAAATTGAGACCCTAGAAGACGGTGCATTCTCAATGGATCCACCAATGGCATAGATATTAGACCCAACCGCAACGAGACTCGCACTAGGGGAATGGTGATTTGGGATTGGGGCCAAAACGTACCCACTTGAGTTCTTTGTCTTCTCGGTGATGTTGGTTAGGGTTTGATTAGGTTTTCGGTAGAGTGTAAACCAACGTGGGTTAGGGTCAGGAGGGAATTCTAAGCACACATAGAGACAACTCTCCGTGCGGTTGAAGAAAGATCGAGTCTTGTAAAGCTCCGGTGAAGCAACGAGGGTTCGACAGCTCTTGGAGACTAAGGAGAGAATCGGGTAGTACAATCTAGAGACGCGTGCGAAGCAACTCAATACCAAATCATCGGGAAGTGATGAAATTGGGGTCGATTCCGGCGACCGTTTCTTCGTCTTCTTCTTTAGGGACGACATCGAAACGAAATCGATTTCTTCTACTTCTTCTCCGACTCAGGAGGGGATTTAGGGATTCGACTCGATTTTTCTTAATGAGTTCATGAGCGCGTGAGCCTACTTTCTCGGATTGCGCGTGGTTAACAGAACGTGAAGGCTATTTTAATAGTGGGCTGGGTATATAATAGAGATGGTGATCAGATCGTAATGGGCCTGAAGATAACGATTTTGGATCTTTTGTTGTTGTTGTTGTTTTTTTTTTTTTTTACGGCAAATCAATTATATTATATCATAAAAGTGTTACGTCAATACATGAACCATTAAAATACAACCATTGAATAAAATAAAGGAAATTGAACACAATTTCGATGAAGAAGTGGAAGTAACCCTGCTTTCCAAACGAAAGCCTTATAGGCAACAGATGACATTTGTTAAGTCCCCTCTTCATATACTCGTAAAAGGCTAACATCTTGTAGATGAAATTCCCAAATGCTTTCCGCATCACTTTGAATAAACGAACACACTGATATATTGCTTGAAATGGTTCTGAATCATGTCTTTTATAACGCCTTATCCATCGTTGTCGGTTAGTGACCATGATTTGCTCTTCCATAAAACCTGAGTAATCCAATTGAGGGATAATATGGACATCACCATCATCGGACAGTATCCATGACCAGAGGATGTTATCGTGAATGCCACTTCCTTCAATCAGGAGGATTTGTCTGTTAATTCCCGGATCAAATACCCAAATGACTTCTCCAAACCATAGATTAGGAGAAACTTCATCGGTTGACAACCGGAGATGACGACGGTGATAAGGATCACCGGAAACAAACTTCTTCCGAAAGAAGAGAAAAATAAAGCAATATTGAATAGAAAACTTCAACCCCGTTGATGTGTTGTGAAACGAAACAAAACTAACCGCTCTCGGATCCACCCTTCCCACGTGTAGCGACAAGGTCTGGGTATTGTGAAACACCACCCAACCTTGCGATTGAATTGGTGACAAGATCGGAGGGAGAGACATCATTGCATCCCAATCGGCATGGATTTGGAATTTGCAAATTTCCAATTTATTCATCTAGATCTATGCAAAGAGAAGAAAAAAAGAAATCTAAACATAAGGGAAAAGCCGACCGACGCTGGAGAAGCCAACGCCGGCCGGAAACAATGGTGTAACGGAGAAGTTGTAAAGAGTCGCCTAAGTGATCGTCTTTTTCAGAGAGAAGAGGCAGTTGTTCAAAAAAAAAAGTGGTCTTCGTTGTTGTTGTTCTTTCTTAGTTTTTGCAAGAAAAAAAAAAAAATTGACAGATAAGAACAATCTTGAGTAGTTCTTGCTGATTCCGCTTTTTTTTTGGGTTGCCGCATTTTTTCACCATGTATTTTTCCATTCTCAGCTTCTACGCAATTTTTTTTCTTTTAAAATAACAAAACATTCAACCAAAACGGCGTTTCAAAAGCATTTTAGCGGTCATTGGCACTAAATAAGTTAACCGTAACACAATTCAAAGTGTTTTGTATATATATTCTAGGATCATTCAAACCTACAAAATGCCCTAACCATTTTATTCCTTAGACCAACCAGAACACTTAAAGAAAATAATCCAAGCACAATCTTCTTCTTCTTGCATAAGAAACTAACCAAAAAAGAAAGAAACAAAGTGAAGTCTTGCATATATTATGTCTAAACACCTCTCACCGGCGTGAGATGCAACCATTGTGGAAGAACAAACGAGGGACAGTCTGATCTTTTAAAGCATTCAAAGGAATTCGGACTGCGACCGCTATGTTCCAATTCACTATGGAGCACAAACTTCCCATTGCATATGTTAGCAGCTACCAAACTTTGATGCTTCCTGTTCCAGAAATAGACTGTTTTAGCATCAACAGAGTTTATTGTCACTGGAATATGATCAAAACTGGGATTAACACAATCCACAGAGATTTCAGATACTAGTTGCCATTCCCCGCTCTGAAGCTTCCATATACTTAGCTTATCCTCTAGACTTCCATCATCTTTGGTTATAGACACTACATTCATATACATGAGAAATCCTTGAAAAATAGTGCATGCTCTTTTGAATTTGGGATGTTTTCCTGAATCAGGGAAACGTGTAACACGAAATCGATCAGAATCCGTGCCAGTTGCATAGAAATCATGGGATACGATAACATCTTCATTGTCACTATTGCGGTTGAGCCAGTAAAGATTTCCATTCAAGCTAATTGAACGATAAAAATATTGATAGTACAAAGATGAAGGCAAATGGACAATGCTGAGACTCCACAAGCCTGTCTCAGATGAATATATCAACAAACTTATTTCCATGTTTTCGTGCACATTACCAAAGTCAAGCAAAACAACTTTGTAATCTAAAACAACGCCGTTCTCCGTTCGTGTGACAATTCCCAAAGGAAAAACATATTCTTTGAGATGAGAAGGGAGTTCTATGCAATCCTGTGAAACTGGATTAGCCACATACACTGCATTGATAAGGATAGATGGCTTCTTAGACACTTCACTGACCAAAATCAACCCAACGTCCGTGTAGTCCCAGACCGAATACTCGTATTTGTCTCTCTGAATCTCAAACTTGTTAGTTAGGAAGGATAAGATGTAAGAGCCTATAGATGGTTCGCATCCGTAAAGAGTTGTACCGACGTCTTTCTTATCATCCCAAACAAGGAGCGACCATGAAGAAGAATGCAAGTTTTGGTACAGAGACTTACGAAAGTATGGAGACTCGACAATCGATTTCCACTGCTTGCACACCAGTTTTGAAGTTATGATGCTCTTTAGTGGTAATCTTGCTAGTATGATTGACCATAGATCCTCTGTGAGAGAATTCATCTTCCTATTCCTCTGTTTCAATGGGATTAGATTTTTTTTTATAATTAATATGTATCATAGGGGATTCAAAACGGGTAAAAATCCATGGGTAACAAATCTGTCCAATGTTTTACTGGATTTGGGTTAAAATTTAAGAATCAGATGCATCTAAATAAGATTTAATTGCTCTATAAACTAAAAGTGGTTTTATTTTGTTTTATGGTATTTTGAGTTTATGGTTTTAGGATTTTAGGATTTTTTTTTGTTGGTTTTATAATTATATGGTGTGTTTTAGATTTTTTTATTTAATTTAATTTATATATGGGTGACCCATATCTATATCTACTAAATCAACAGTCACTTTAACAAAAACTGCAATATTCTCCTTTTGACATGTGGCATAAGTCTCAAATTCTCTTCTTTTACTTTTCTACGTCAATTTACTTTTTATTTGATAAACATTTTTTTATTTTTTCCCACAATTTTCTCCTTTTATCTTCTTTCCTAATTAAACTCAACTAATCAAAAATATAAAAAAAAAAATTCATTTCTTCATCCCACGTTCCATTTACTAATTTATTTGAGAAAACACTTTTTCCTCCACGATTTTTTTTTTTTTTTCTCATAACTAATTAAATTCACTATTTTTTTTTTCGGCAAAAACAAACTTTCATTGATTTAAAAAAGTTATTACAAAGACACTAACAGAATTACTAGAACACAATTATTACATACGCAGATGTATGTGCCATATATTAAGAAAAATACAGCAGAAGGGAGATTGACGATGCTTTCCGAAGATTAGTCTTACTCGCTAACCAACCATAAGATCCGTTATTGTCCAACTTCATATTTGATTTTTCTTGGTTACGATTGGCATGCAGCAACTTGTGGCTGAACTTTCTTTTTGCAAACTGTAGCTTTAAACCCGATGTGTCCATAAATAACTCTGAAATGTAGACACGGTGGTACCAAAGCTTCCGTACCAAAGTCTTTCTTAAAAAACTCGACTTTGTAATTTTCTTTAACATAATCACAAATAAGTTTAGTGTAGTCGAAGTAGGTTCGACTATAACATCCTTTGGAAAGATTGCCTTACCAGATTCCAAAAAATCCCTAACTCTTACCCGAAAGAAACATAGGCCTTGACACAACAACATGTTCACGGTCACTTCTGTTGAAGAAACAACAAGTGATGCGTTTGATCCCACGACACAATCAACGTCATCATCATTGAGGCAATTGAAGCGATGGGCAGGAGGATTCTGAAAGCGTTCATGTAGTCGTGTGAAATTTAGTCTTGCACCCGCCGCCGTCTTCCTTCTCGTCACTCTCTCGGCATGAATCTCCACAAAAAGAGTTTTGTTGATAAAACCTGATTTATGTCTTCTAATGGACATGGAATCATGTCGTATCCGTCCATTAACACAATTGCCCATATGCATCTTGTGCATATATTCCACTGTATGTCTCGCTGATGCATTCCAGAACCACCGAATCCAACCAATATTAATCAAATCATGTTGCCAAAACTTGACTTTGTCTATAATGGACTTCAATAACTGAATCCAATTATGATCAAATTGATGCATCCGTTGTTTCATCACACAAACAGTAGAGTCACAATCAATTACTCCAGGATCCCATGTCCGAAATAGATTCCCAATTCCTGAATTGGAGGGATTCATATGAGAAACCCAGATTCTATTATTGTGGAACAGAGACGTTCCAGTGAAGAAACGATGGACACCGTTCGAAGCCGGAAAGAAGCCGACACCATAACACTTGAGTTGAGGCCATGATAGGGTCGGAGATACGCTCTCACGGAAGGAGAGAAAAGAGGCGCGACTTTGAAGAGTAACTTGGTCGCAATGGACACGATCCGAGACACCATCTATTCCCGAAACCACATCTCCCAACACATGGCGATGAAATCTGGATCTTATAAAACGATACCCAAGTCAAGATTGGAGACAAGTTTGAGATTGACGGCCTCAGATTTTGTAACAACATTGTGAGAAGGCAAAGAGCATGGATTTTGAAATCTCGATTTGCCATATATTATTATCTAGATCTATGCAGAAAGAACAAAACGGAGGAAGCAAAAGATAAAAGAGAGGAAAGGCCGACCGACGCCGGAGAAGCCGACGCCGGCCGGAGACAATTAGAATTGAAAAGTCGCTTTGAAGTCGATTGGGAGAGAACAAACGGTTGACCAAACTAATTAAATTCACTATTAATCAAAAGTAATTAAAAAAAAAAACACCTTTTCATTTCTTCCTCCCACGTTTCATTTTTCTTTTATAACAATTAATAAATCTGATTTCGCTTAAATAATGATTGTGATTTTAATCAAACAATGAAATTTTTGTTTAATCTATGAATCAAACAATGAAAATTTTGTTACTACATGAAATTGTTAATTTCATTTTTGTTTAATCTAATTCTATTTTCGTTAATCTTTTTGCCAATAGATATTACCCATTGTTATAATTAGTTTTTTTTTGTTTAATTTACACAACATTTATATATTTAATTTATTCATCATATATATATATATATATATATATATTAATTGTTAAGAATAAAATTTTAATCAAAATTTTAGCCCATGCATGGCATGGGCCTTAATACTAGTCTATATATATTTTTGAAGTACATTTTAGATAAAACCCTTTGGTTTCTAGACTATTTACAAGGAATGTCGTTGGATATATCATGTATTCAAACAACTTTTTATCATTAATTCTCTATTATCTATATAACCAAACACAATTAAAAGATTTTAACATTAATTATAATATAAAAATATATAATGGTCCATATTTAATTATAAGAAAAAAATCCAAAAAACTCTCATCAATTTTATATTTGGCCGTTTAATATGTAAGATCTTTTTTTTTTTGAATAAAAATTTCTCATATAATTTTAGTTGGTCAAACAATACCTTTATCTTTGAATTATTGGTAGATTCAAACTCGTGACTTAACAGCCGGTAACAAAGTGAAGTCTTGCATATATTATAAACCAAAAAAGAAAGAAACAAAGTGAAGTCTTGCATATATTATGTCTAAACACTTCTCACCGGGATGAGATATAACCATCGTGGGAGAACAAACGAGGGACAGTCTGATCTTATAATGCATTCAACGGAATTCGGACTGCGACCGCTATGTTCCAATTCACTATGGAGCACAAACTTCCCATTGCATAAGTTAGCAGATACCAAACTTTTATGCTTCTTGTTCCAGAAATAGACTGTTTTTGCATCAACAGAGTTTATTGTCACTGGAATATGATCGAAACCGGGATTAACAAAATCCGCAGAGATTTCAGATACTAGCTGCCATTCCCCGCTCTTTAGCTTCCATATAATTAACTTATCCTCTAGACTTCCATCATCTTTGGTTATAGACACTACATTCATATACATGAGAAATCCTTGAAAAATAGTGCATGCTCTTTTGAATTTGGGATGTTTTCCTGAATCAGGGAAACGTGTAACACGAAATCGATCAGAATCCGTGCCAGTTGCATAGAAATCATGGGATACGATTACATCTTCATTGTCACTATTGCGGTTGACCAGTAAAGATTTCATTCAAGCTAATTGACGGGAAAAATATCC